TCCCCTAAATCCATCCATTCACTTATTTGCAAAACGCTGGCATATGTTTCTGTTTTCAACAATTAGTTGTGTACCTTCTTAACAATTACCACTAAAAATACAATCCAGGAGGAATGTCATTGTATCTACAACTTGCACAGAAAGTTAAGATTTGGGTTAACTGAAAAGTGCTTAGTACATAAAAACAGCAATTCTGATGGACACAAGGTGTCAAAGTTTTTTAAATTGTGCTTTTTAAAACTGATCATGTTAGCTTGGGATGATGGAAGCTGTAGTCCAACTGATCTAGAGGGACCTAATGGGAATAGTGGATCTATTCCAACTGAATGAAGAATTAACCTATTCCATCACTAATGTGAAGATTCCATGAAACAGAAAATAAAACTGTTTACCATTCATTGCAGTGGGGAAAAGTCACTTGCCATTCATTTTATTCATAGCTGTAGCTCAAGATATATGGGTCCTTTAAAAAATAAATGAACACCTTGTTGTAACAAGAAATTTAATGTTTTTTTGCATACTGATGCACACAACTCCAGCATAATACTTACACTGTACACAACACTTTATAAAGTGACATTGGCATTAGAAACAACTACAGTTGCCCCTCCATTTTTGCAGATTCAGAGCCTGTGGTCTTGGTCCTTCGTGGACTGGCAATCACCATTAGTTAAAATGGCACGTGCGTGTGTGGCACATGCACAGGGCTGCGTGCAGCCATTCAAGCCACTGGGGCTTGAATATCTGCAATTTTTCATTTTCATTGGGGGGGCAGAGTGGATTCCCCGCAAAAATGGAGGGGCAACTGTACTTCTGTTCATATAAAAAGTGGCAAGGTAAGAAAAAGATTCTATATATGAATTACAGTATCTTTCCACATAAAAATAATTAAGTAATACAAAATTTGTCCCTGAAGCTACAATCTTGTAAAAACATTCTTATATTTACTCTTTGTTACAAAAGGAGACTCACTTCCAACAACAGTTCTGTTTAGTCTTCACTATAAATGAGGACTCACTCACTTTGATGGGAGTTTTCCTGTGTATAATTTAAGTACAAATGGAAATCTTTGCAGGATCACAGCCTAAATGCTACTTCTTGCAATATATATATATATACATACACACACACATATTGTGTGGCTTTATAAAGTAGATTTGTTTTTCCTTCTACACCTTTTCATAAGCTGTGCAAAACCTGTGTAACTTGTGCCCATTCCTTATGTGAATAAAAGGGAAATTAGCACTGGTTTGGTGCTACATTGGGCTTGGTCGTTCAGTCTCTGATATATAATCATGCTGCAGAGATCCAACATGAGCCATGAAACTATTGCTTTGATGCCCCCAGTCGTAATAATCAGGGGAGAAACTAGAAAACAAAATTAAAGAGAAATTAACTTCATAAAACATGAAAGATAAAGTGGTCACATGTTCTTGTGAAGTTTCTGGCAAATACTTGACTAGACATAGTTTGGTTCAAGGAACTGTGTAGACATGTTTGCTGCAATCTTGTGGTTATGGGAATGAATGCCAATTGTGTTTGGCCGGGAATTTGCTAGAGGGCCTGGAATTATAATAGAATGTAACTCTGGCTTGGCCTAAATTTTATGCTTAGCCATTAAGCCAGGTCATTAAGAGTTCTACAACAACAATATCCAATTGTACTGAGAGAGAGAAATCTTGAGTAGAGTTTTTATTTACACACAAAGTATTTTGATGAAACAAAGGAAGAAAGATTGCTGATATTTCTAACTAATATATTTCTGTCTTACAGCATCTATAACCTGTTCAACTGGTTGCTTTCCCGCAGCTCTCTGTATAAAATACTGCATTAAAGGAAGTAATTTTTATTCTTCTGGTATCCTGCAACTTTGTACAGTTTAAGGCAGATAGTGAACAGTGTACTAAAAAAGAAGTCGAGATTTACATAAACTTGCATAAGGAATTCAATGCATCATTATGTGTGGCCACAAAGTGAAAGTGGTTATTGTACATAATCCAGCCAGTTAGTGTTCCTCCTGTGTGAAATGACTGGGACTTAACAGTTAGATTCTGCAGCTCAAAAACACTGAATGAATTGGTTCTTCTTCCATTCACAACTTACCTGGAAGCTTTCTAAATGTTTACATGTTCTAATCTCAATTGCATGTGATTCTGTTATTGGCTTCACCTACACCCTATTGTGCTAACCTTCCTTGCTTGAACAATTTGCTTATTATTATGTTTTCCTTAAAGATTTAAATTTATATGAAAATAGCCAGGGAGAACTATTTTCCTTTCATTCATGCATTATCACTCTGTTTCTGTTTTTCTCACCTGCCATGTATGCTGTGTGGTGATATGCTCCATGCCAAATCATCATCACTGTCATATCTGCGAGGATTGTCAAAGAAGTAAGATCTTGGATTGAATGCACGAGATGGTACTATTCCTGGGTTTGTCTAAGAAAAAGAATGAGAGGTTACTTTGTACTGACCCTTTTTTTGTTTGTTGGCACTTTATGGTTTAGTGTCTCTGAAAGATAAATGCAGATGATTTTCTTGCTAAGATACTTCGGTGGGAGCCTCACTAATTTTCTCCCTACTTGAAATTTTTGTCCTCCCTTCCAGCTTGTTCACTTCTCATCCCTGCCTTCTCCATCACTCTGTCTTATCTCTCAGACTAGAGAGTGAAGATGCAATGAATAGAGACAGACATAATGAGCACTGTTTTGCAAGTCCTATTCCCCTTCAATACATCTGCACCCTATCATATTCCTTTTAGCTGCAGAAATCTGACAGAACCCATGCAGTACTTCAGATACTGCCACACTTTCTGGGCAAGACCTCCTTCATTGGAAGGACTCTTTGTAAACTTTCTGTCCTAATCAGTGGAAGCCTAGCATTACACTTTGTAGGTACCTCCTGGCTGTCCTTCCAGAGTTAAGAAAGGTCACCATCTGTCTAGGCCCTATGTTTTAAGCCAAATCAGTGGCGCTGAAAGAATTTCATGCAGCTGCTCTGCAAAAATTGTTAAGGGTTACATTAACTTATATATTACATCCGGAGCTTGGGACTACAACTGGTATAATCTCCAGCCAACATGACTAATGATCATGCTCCCTATGAATTCATGAATCTGTACTCCAAAACAACATTTATAATTACACATAAGTGAACAGTTTCCCTTACTGATGGAGGAGATATTTGATTATCTTTGGCAGGCACCTTTTCAGCCTTTTCTGGAATCTACTTTTCTGTTGTTGAACTGCTCCTAAAACAATTTGATCACCCAGTCTTGAGAATAAACACTCTGATTTTGTGTCTTATCCTTAAAGTAGTGAAGTAATTTTTATATCACTTTTTAAAATGTGTAATAAACCCTTCTCCTCTGAGACACAACCTCAGAGGATAACGCTGAATGCTTATGTCATTACTTGTGTTGTTCTTTAAGATGCTATAAATGTTCTGTTATTGTTGCTGCAACAGATAAGCTGTTTCCCCACTTTGTGCTAATTTACTGGAGGGGGGTACTTTTTGTCTTTAGAGACAAATTACATAAAATATGTGGACTGTATATTTAAATAAGGAGAGTCGGTTAATTAAAAAAAAGATCCTGGGCACACAAATCTTTCTGAGCAAGCAGTACTGTATCTTGGATTTTCCTGTTAATGCACAGGTTTTGTTTGCACTTGCATATATATGATTCCTGTTATATACATATACGTATTACTATTTTCTTGAGATTCTACTCCCTCTTGTGGCTAAGTGTCACAGGATCTTAGGCTGATGATTTAATTATTAAAGATTGGAGACCTGATTATTGTCTTTGGGGTAGATTATTTTATTTATACAGAGAGAGAGAGAGAGATGCACACATGTGTTTGCCTATATTTCCTCAATTTTCCAACTTGGAACAAAACTGGATTAAATTGATTAGTTGTCCTATAAAATTATTCTGAGGGCGATATACAGTAAAATATAATTAAGGGAAAATTCTAATATATAAAATTAAACGCATCACAGTACAGCATTAAAAAACTAAAAAATAAATATCTAAAAAAAAAAGTCAAAGTTAAGCCTGCACAACAGAGCAGCAGAGATAAACATGGTCACTTCCCCCTAAAATACCAACTGCTTTGATTTCAGTGACCAAGTCTGCCCTATAAAAATAGCCAATGAACTGTTCGGGGGGGATCTATTTCAAAAGTCCACTGTGGAATAACCACTCACTGAATCTGCATACAGAAGGGCATTCGAAGTAGAACCTCAGATGATCTAGTAATTCAGACAGAAATATATGGGAGGAGGCAGGATTCTGAATACAGTGATCCCAACCCAGGAGAGACTTTATAGCTTAAAACCAGCACTTTGAACTCAGTTGAAGAAGCTAATGAAGATGGCACAGGATTGGAACTACATGATCTAATCCCAGAGCTTCTTCCCATAGTTTTCCCAGTCAGTGTTTCTGAGACACCAATAAATTTGCAGGAATTTATATTGAAGCTTATCAAATAAAAAGGCCATATCAATGTTATGTACAAAATCTTTGGGCTGCAACCCTAAAGTATTTTGGTTTAAATAAAGGTAAAAAGCATTAAAAAACTGATGGCTGTTGTTATTGGCAGCAGAGGCGCTGAATGCCTCTCCCACCTTTCAGCAATCCTGATATTGCTGATATTGCATGACAAGCAGTCATACAACAGGTCCAACTCTCTCCAGTAGGAAGATGCAATGAACATAAAAGCCACAAGTACAGGTTGTCTAGCTGTGATTTAGGTGTTGGAAGTCAAAGGAGCACAACAGCAAGCCAGTGTTGGGCAAACTGGCAATACCACCTGCTGAGATTATTGTTTCTCTACTTTGCTGATGTTGTTGTGTGCCTTCAAGTGATATCTGATTTATGATGACCCTAAAGCAAATCTATCACAGGGTTTTCTTGGCAAGATTTCTTCAGAGGGGTTTTGCCTCTGCCTAAGGCTGAGAGAGTGTGACTTGCCCAAAATCACCCAGTAGGTTTCCATGGCTGAGCAGGGATTTGAACCCTAGTCTCCAGAGTCCTAATCGAACACCCAAACTACTATGCCATGCTGGCTGTCACTACTAGTAGGCAAATTGGGATCTCAGTGGAGAGAAGCTCTGGGCGGATTTGGCAGGATGGGATATGCATCATTCAGACAAGTGCATGAATACTAAGAATTAAGAGAGCCTTTTCTTAAAAAAACATTATTATACAACCATAAGTCAACTGAAAATGATAAATATAACTTACTAGGTCTTTTGTAGGGTTTCGGACACGGAAGAAGAACACCACTAAAGAAGTGGGCAGGAGCTCCCACACAAACAGGACTACTCCGAATACTACATATCCAGCATCACCCAGCTGGCACTTCAGATCTGCCTGTTGCAAAATCAAAGTGAAAAATCTATAAAATTAACCTCTGCATTCAGCATTTGTCAGTCACTGTGTCGACCCAACCCCGTATTGCAGAATGTAGGAGGAAAATGCTACTATAGTCATAAAGAGATACAACCCTTGCTAAATCTCCATGAGAACCAATTATGTGAAAGACATCTCTGTAGGTATCAGAGATGGTTTGAGTGAATCTAGAAATGTCTTGGCCTAACTAAAGAAATATGTATCTGTCTGAACAAATAATTTCCAACCAAACCAGCCAGTTTGGTGAAATGCATTTGGCATATGCTGAACAGCTGTATTTCTGATTTACAGCTGTACTTCTGATTTACATAATGTTGGATGGGTCATGGGTTTAGTCATGGATGTGTTGGTCTGCTGCTGGATTTCTCACACGTAATCACTTCACTTGGAAATAAGCTGTAATCCCAGTGAAAATCCCTTTCTGCCCACATTGCTGTTAGCTTGGCCAGGGTGGAGGGATCTTAGCATGGATATCAGACATGGCTATGAATTCTTCTGGCATGTGGTAGCTTCATCTCAGAAGTGATCAATGCAATATGTAAAATGAAATGGGCCCAAAACTTACTAGAAAGTAACATCCCCTTAAATCTTAAGACTACAATATACCTAAAACCCAAGCTCTGCCCACTGTCATCTATGTAGCATTGTAACTGTGAAGGGAATTTAGGTATTCTAAGGTGGCTTTTGTCAAAGGAAATTTGTTTTATTTTTAGAAAAGTAGTTATGTTACTTCACTCCCCTGATTTTAATGCACACCAGAGTAACATGCACTACAATAACATTATATATAAACATGTGAAAAAGTCCAATGACTTTCCAACAAAGTTCTCCCTCTTTTAAATTAAAAAATAGTTTTATTTTGCCCAAACCCCAGTTTTTATAAGCGGCAGATACAGCTGAAGTTATTCAACTGCACAGTGCAAATCTAGCCAAAAAGACCCTATCTGTGCCAAATTATTTTTACCTGTAAATATATGGATGTGTAGGGAGGGTTTTTTTGTTTGTTTGTTTCTACTTTAATGCCAGGAAGTATCAGTGCATAATTTAACATTTTGTCAGGAAGAAATGCTGCACTTGCCTGATCAGATACATTGTACCAATCATAATCAAAAGAGTTCACTGCCTTGCTTTGAGAAAATGACAAAATGACCAGGTTGTAACATGCTCTTGAGGTATAAAGTAGTATAACAGTCACTCCTATAGTTGTCAGTTGACATACGGATGAACCCTGGAGAAGAGAGTAAAACACATTTTAGCATACTTTCATTTGGGTTTTGAAAGTAGGTATTGAAAGGTCACAGTTCTAGAAGGAAAAGTGTAACTAATCTTATGCTTTGAGCTACAATCCCCCCCCCCACACACACACACTATGCTCTGGGAGGTACTGAAATCTATCACAAAGGCACCACAAAGGAAGTTAGGGACAGTAAACTCTTTGCTGCAGCTTCTCAAAAGTAGCTGTTGACTGCAATAGGGAAGGTAAAGAAACAGATCTTCACAACTCTTTTAAGAGAAACAAATCATTTAAAAGGAATGGGCTAGATGGATTGGGGCAGCTAGGACTTTGGGATCCATAGTTGAGAGCCCCACAATATAGCCTTCCCCTACAAATGACTGCACAGAGACCATCAGATGATGAAGACAACTATAAATAGGCCAAACCATCATAACAAGATTCGTTCTTCTTTTTTTAAAAAAAAAACCAAAAGGTCATAGGTAGCAGCCAGTCATGTAGACCTGCAAACATCCATTGTTTGTATTTTAAAACTACATCCCATTTTGCTAAATTTTCAAGTAAATTTAATATAATATAAATGTGGAAACACAAAGTTTCAGTTTCTTCCTCTAGTCGTGACAGCGCTAGACCTGAAATGAATTCAGAGCACATAAACTCAGAATATTGCCTTCGTTTACTTGGGTTGGCAAACATTTTTTAAAGCTGTGTTTTATTTTTGTTCATGTATCAGGAATGCAGAAGTAGTGGCAAAGCACAGAATGGGGAAATTATGTACTGCACAACATAATGTCTGTGCGTGGCTGTATGAACTATTTTTGCCCAGGGTCTATTAGCTGGTTTTCATCTTTAAAAATAATAATACTGAAACAGCTGGAATTACAGGAGTATCCTTGCATATCAGTAAGACATTTGAAAAGAGTCTGCAGTGACTGGCATCCTGTTGGTGACATAGGCAGGCAATTTATAGCACTTTTTTCAGTTGCTATGGATTAAAGTCTTCAGAATCTCCCATCTGCAGCCATGCACGGAGCTATTATGATTTCTGCAGCTGGATCATCCCCAACAACCAGAAAAATATTTGTGGAGTGGGGTGGTGACAGAAGGCAGTCAGTTTCAGTCTTCTGCAGCTGGATGCACAAACACATGCGTCCTCCCGAACCTCCAGGGGGTCCTTGGAAGAACCAAAAGAGGAGGAGGAGGAGGAGGAGAATGTCATCCCTGTGCTTCCACATCCAGCAACACATCCAGATATTGCATGGCTGCACCTCCATCCTTCCCAGCCATTAAACAGTCATGGGGTGTGTGTGGGTTCCTGGTTGCAGAAATCATAAGAAAGAAAGGGGGGAGGGAGTGCAATTATGCCTGACAGAATTGTATGTGATATCAGTGCCATCATGGAAAGAGTTTTCTTTACTCATAATAACAGCAGTTCCCCATGATAGATGCAAAATCATGTTCCTCAAAGCAAAAGGAAGTGCTAATTGCAAAGCAAATATAATTCTTCCTAGCAACAGACATTTCAATTTGAGATGTGGGGAAATGTGTTAGCTCTACAATAGGTAGGTTTGTAAAGACATCTGTGCCCTGCACTATCACTGAATGGAAAAAATAACAATGAAGTGAAGGAGCCAGGACTGTGTAGAAGAGGTTTACTTGTTCTGGAACTCCACAGAACCACCCAGAAAAAGAAGAATTTCAAGGAGACTGTCAGTGTTTAAGAATAAGAGAGGCCTTGCTTTTGTATCCAGTAAGAGCCCTATAGGCTCACTTCTAAGGCCTATCTAATGTATCTGCTTCCTAGTAAGATTGAAACTATGGAAATGATATGACTATTACTGGCTAATAATCATGATGCCTATATACCATCTCCAGCATCAGAGGTAGTGGTAGTGGAGAGGGCAAGTTTATGGGTTTCCAATGGACATTTGTTTGGCCACTTCAGAAAGCAGGCAGCTTGACTAACCAGGAGTCTTTGGTCTAATCCATAATAGCTCTTCTTATGTTCTTTTTGAGGAAATGTAATTTTTGGCAGTTTTAATTAAGTTATGCCGATTTGAAGTAGACAAATTTGGGATTTTAAAGAAATCAGTAATAGATGATGGCCACAGTTTGTATATTTAACTAAATTGTATTATAAGCGAAGCCCATAATGTTGTTCTTGTTATGTACCTTCAAGTCGTTTCTGACTTATGGCAGTCCTAAGGGAAACCTATCACAGGGTTTTCCTGGCAAGATTTGTTCAAAGGGGGTTTGCCCTTTGCCCCCCTCTTAGGCTCAGAAAGTGTGACTTGCCCAGGGTCACCCAATGGATTTACATAGCCAGGTGGGCATCTGAACCCTGGTCTTCAGAGTTGTAGTCCAACACTCAAACCACTCCACACGCTGGCTCCCCAAAGCACATATACATATGAGAGAGAGAGAGAGAGATAGTCAGTATTCATAAGATATTCTTTCATACAATCCTACACATATATATAAAGAAACAAGTTCCACTGTGTCCCAAGACAGTATGCATAGGACTGTAGCCTTTCTTACATATCAATTTTTATGGGATGTTTCCATTCATTTTGGATGGAATTTAAGAGGGGTTTATTTGTGTGTATTACAAGTCTGATATTAGATGCTGCACTCCTGGATACAAAGTAGTCTAATTTCCCAGATCTACAGACACTGCTTTACAAAATCTGCACCTTGGATAATTTTGCTGAACTAAACTACTTTGGTATTTTGAGAAGAACTGAAACTTAATGTAGAAAAGGGCTGTGAAACTTGTGGTGGGACAGTGGTATGAAACAGGAAGTACAGTACTTAAAACAGGGAATCAATGCTACATATTTTTCTGTTTGCTTCTGTGTTGCTGTTTAAGTCACAGCAGGAAAATAAGCTGATTGAATTCTCTCATTACACATGAGCTCCTACTATACTGAATAACAGGCTGATATAACAGCAGGATGATCATATAAAGTTAATCCACTGAAAGTGAGCAATTTTATATATCATTGTGTACTTGGTAATTTGTCTAACATACTAAACAACTATTTTTAGTTCTCAGTTCCTATACTACATTATAGATGTATCTTAGTTTCAAACTAATTGTGTCTTCCCTCACAAAATCCTGAGAATTTTGAGGAATTCTAACCCAGTCTCCAAAAACTACAGCCAACTAGTTGTATGAGAATGGCAAGTGTGGTTAAGTGGTTAGAGTGTTGGTTGTGGAATCTGAATGTTGCTCACTTGGCAACTTTATATTTCAGTCATACATTCATAGTCTTACCTACCACAGAGTCACTGTGAACAAGTTAAACTTGCTAATGTTCCCAAGCATAAATTTCCTGAAGGAAGGGGTGGAATATAAAAGCAATTAATGTTATCTTATACTGTAGAGGTATTGTGTGTGTCATTCACTGGCAGAGCATTT